TTTATCATCTGCTACTTTCTTTCTCTTTTCCATATACAGTTAGTGCATTTTTCTAACTTGTTTGAAATTTTGTCCAGGTAATCTATACTACCTATGAATTTTGTATCCATAAGGTCTGTGAATTTCATTTAGAAAGAATAAAGGAGACATTGGTAAAGTTTCATTATGTAATGGAAATGTACTGCCTATACGTTCTATATTATCTATTATATTATATGTGTATAGTTTTAAATTATGTAAGGGATGTCAAATTAACAACTAGAAAATTTTAGAGTCCCACTTCCAACAGCATGGAAGATTACATGTTCTAAATGTCTATTCACTGAAAGATCTAACATATGGATATAATGCCTTTTCAGATGCATCAGGGACTTGGCATAAATTGAGTAAAACCAGATACAAACAGAAAGTAAACCAAGAACATAGAAAGTAACAGAATAGAAGTTGACCTTTGCTCAGATTTTAACTTTCCACTTCATAACTACACAGGAAACAGGGAAAGGAGAGGGCTTGCCAAAGGGGAGTGAAATATGAAATAATACCTCTCAATTAAGAGCATGAAACCCCACTAAACAGAAGAGAGAAATACCTGACTTGAATTTAATATTCAAAAGTACGAGGAACTAAAAAATGGCCCCTTTGAGAATGAGCAACCCCAGTCTAACCATCCCCAGGGTTTCTGTCAAAATTAACACTTAATGGTGTGCTCTGCAAAACCTCATGAAGAAAATTCTATTTAAAGTGGCCCCAGAGGCCATCAGCACCTGAATCTATGGCCAACCTTAAGGTCACTATTGTGGGACAATGGAACATGGCGCTTCTCCTGATGTCACGCACTCACAGCATCACCTAGGAAGGGCTCCAACCATGTCTGCCAGTGCCCAAGTGTGTCAAAACCCCAAACTCAGTGGTCTAGGATCATCTGCTTCACAGAAAAAGATATAATGAAAAAAAAAAAGAGACCATATTATAATAATAACTAAAAAGACAACATTCTTAGAAAAAAGCATGGTAGAAAATGAAAAGTTTATATGAAAAACAAAAACACACAAATAGCCAAGAAAAATCTAAAAAAGAAAACTAATGAAGATATACTAACCCTACCAGCAATGAAAAAAATAATAAAGACTGTACAGTACTAGGGCATTAATAGAAGGACCAATAAAATAAAAGTCAAGACTATAACCCACACACTGTACCTAAGGAAATTCAGTAACTAATAAGAGTGGCATCTCCAATCAATTGGGAAAAGAGAACTCTGTTTATTTTATGTGTCAACTTGGAGTGTTTCTGGGTGAAATTAGCAGTAGATCGGTGATTTTCAATAAAGTAGATTGCTCTCCATAATGAGGGTGTACCTCACCCAATCAACTGACGGTCTGACTAGACCAGAAGACTGGCTTCTGGAAGCCACATGGCATCACCAGCCAACTGCCTTCCGACTTCATCTTCACGTGGGCCCTCCTTCTGGACCTCCAGCTGTCAGCCTCTGGATTACACAAAACAGCAGCTCTCTGGGGTCTCCAGCACCGGCCCACACAGCAGAGTCTGGACTTGCCAGTTCCCATAATTATGTGGGAATCCATTATAATGAATCTCTATCTTAACCAATCGGATGTGTATACATATACTGGAGTATAAACATATCCCATAATATGTCAAAAGACAAATGACAAGATGAGGGATAGTCGTTACTAACTCAAATCACAAAGGACTGGTCTCTCTAATATATAATGAGTTTTCATGAATCAATTTTTTAAAAGACCAACAACTAAATAGAAAAATTTAAGATAAAAAAATGAGTTTAAAGTCTTGGAAAAAAAAAAAAAGAAACACAACTTCTTTTAAATATATAAGATGTTCAGCCATCAATCACAAGATAAATGCAAATTAAAACTACATGATCAGATTGGCAAAAATCCAGAAGCTTCATAAAACCATGCCTTTGGCACATGTGCCAGGAAACAAGTCCTCTCACACATCGATGGTGGGAGTATAGACTGGTACAACCCCTAGGAGAAACAATCTGGCAATATTTTCCAAAATTATAGCTGTAGTGTCACTTCCAGGAACTTACCCTGCAGATATGCTCGCACATTTATGAAATGGCACATATTCAAAGTGTATCATGGCAATATTATTTAAATTGCAAATAACTATAAATAATCTAAATGCCCACAGAAAGAGAATTGGTAAACTAGATTAGGGTAGGTTCATAAATAAAGCTATATAAAAAAGAATAAAGGACTACCTTATGTACTTTTTTGCAGAGATTTACAGAAAACATATTTAAGTGAATGTGGAATGAAGTTACTAAAAAATAGAGAGTACAAGTAGTATGTTATAGTATGCCATCATGTGTGTAAAAATTAAAATACGGTATTTTGCTGCTTTGTATAAAGAAACTCTGGGAAGAAATACAATAAAACTAATACAGTGGTTTTCTGGCAAAGGAGGGAGCAGTAGTGAATTAGGCAAGGAGGCCTTTCTTTGTACTTTTCAATTTTTAAAGCAAATGAATGTATTGATTATTCAAAACATTATATACTAAAAATTGTTAAAGACACAAAATGAGTGAGGTATCTTAATGGAACTCTACAATTACCTTCTGTATCAATCACATTGACAAGACACATTAAGTATTATTTGTTGATTGATTCCCTAATATCAAATCTATGTATGCTCTGTTTGGAAACAAAACTGAGTCTGCAGAAAGGAATATTATGTCTGTTGTGAAAAACTGGCTTATTACATTAAACACATTTAAACTACTTTGGTTTTTAAATGTATGTGAATTCAGTATAACAAATTCTTTTTTTTTTTAAATATATTTTATTGATTTTGTACAGAGAGGAAGGGAGAGAGATAGAGAGCTAGAAACATCGATGAGAGAGAGTCATCGATCAGCTGCCTCTTGCACAGCCCCTACTGGGGATCTGCCCGCAACCAAGGTACATGCCCTTGACCGGAATCGAACCCGGGACCCTTCAGTCCTCAAGCCGACGCTCTATCCATTGAGCCAAACCGGTCCCGGCAGTATTACAAATTCTTATTAAAATTCAGGTTGATTTTGAAAATATTTTATTGGTTATTTTTGCTTTGGGATATATTTGGGGGAATTCTTCTGTGTTCGGAGATGCTAACTATATCTAAAATACAAGAGCTCATTCCCAGAGAACCTTCCTAAGTCAGTCTGAACACAGAAAGAACATCAAACTCCCTAACACACAACCCGTCCCTGTCAACCACACCCTCTGCTTAGCCACTGAAACGTGTCAGCCTTCCACTGCTTTGTCCCATCATGAGTTTAATGGAGCTTGAAAAATACTAGACACTCAACAGTTAGGGAGCATGAAAATCAAACATTTCCCACATAATCTGAGGAGTATTTGGTTTTTCTCATAATAAACACAATATTTATATTAAAAAGTTATGGTTATGTAGTATTTCCTATACAATGATATGTATCAATCAAAGCATAAAACAAACCTAAACTAAGCCCATTAAAATACTATTCGTTAAAATAAGATTTTAACTGTAGTATGCGTTAAATATTTAAATGTGAAGGATATTAAATAACTAATTGCCATGCGGCAGAAGTCATCAGTGCCTGCTTCCTAGAGGAAGTAAATTTTGAGCTTGGTCTTAAGGAAATGACAGGCACTCAGAATCCTTAATCAAATTGGTTTTACAACCAGAGCTTCATTCCAGCACGCTGAAGGAAAATGAGTAATGTAATCTGTCTATTGAGTCCTTCCTAAATTTTGATGACATGACAAAACATTCTACATCTACAGAGAAGTTCAATCATTCTGAAAACCCCTGAAAAACCTACAATTTCACATCTCACAAACCCAGACACCAGGCTTTTACTGAAAAAAAGATGAGAAAGGTTTTTAATTTCCCAGTTTAACAAAAGACCAGAACAAATAACTTGGAAATAATGTACATTCCTCCTTCAATAAATCCCTTTACATGCTAACAAAATTTTGAAAACATGTATGCAAAAGAGAGGATTTAACATGTTTAATGTATTTTGTTTAAAGTCATAAACTCCTTTTAAAAGTCTTAAATAAAAGTGACAGGGGAAACTCCAATGAACCCAAGATAATGCTTAAGAATTCAACTGAAGGGATTAAAATTAAGCTTTATATATTTATATATTTTGCTTAACCTCAACCAATCTCAAGATAAGAAAAAAGCATTTTAAGCACTAAAAGTCAGTGTCACTGTCTTCTCATCTCTTCAGCAGCCCTACCCCACAAAAGAGAAAGAAGAGGGGGGGTGGGGGGGAGAGGCAAGTTACATCAAGATGCTTATGATGGAAGTGTATGCAAGTTTTTTGGATTAGAAGTAAGAGTCCCTAGCTCACAATGCTTTAGAATTCCCTAATGAATCTCTAAAACAAGATCAAACTGAACAATTTCACCAATTGCATAGATTTACCAAATGCACATAAACTATTTTCCTAAAATTATACAAGCTGAAATGTATAGCCCATGACCTACAAGAATATTTAATGAGGCTAACTTAAACTAGATGCTACTTAGAGTTCATGACTCCCTTTAGTTCTGTGATACATTGTAATTGAGAGGCTGTCTGTTTATAAGCTGGTAACATAAGAATAACACTGCCAAAGGAATAGATGTTTTAATATAATGGTGCTTACAAAAACAAAACAAAATTAAGTTCACGATAGAAATACCATGAATGTACCAACATGAGCCTCAGACCACTTTCTTGAAAGATTCAAAACACAAAAATGACAAAGAACATGAAGAGTCTGGCATCTTCTGCTGTCACTATCCAGTAATGTAAGACACTATTAAACATCCTTCCTACCTTTCCATTTCAAACACCCGTCCGTAAGCAAACAGTTTAGAGTAGGTTATAGTTTTGCATTTTCTCAAAACGATACTTTTCCCACCAGGAAGAGAACCTGCTGAGCGGGCCGGACCTGGCGGCCAGAGCGAGGCTGGGAGGGCAGCTGCTGAGCTCACCTGCTGCGGCTGGTACCGCTGCTGGGACTGGGAGGGCAGGTACTGCGCCTGCGGGGGCAGGTGCGGGGGCTGCGGCTGCTGGTTGTAATATGGCTGCTGGCCCTGCTGGCAGTAACCGCTCACACCTTGCTGTCCATACTGAGGCGGCATCTGTCAAAGGAAGCGAGAAAGTCAAAAGATGCAATTCAATGAAATCAACTATGCTTTCAATTCAGCAACATGAAATGGGTTTTTGCTACGCAATTGAATTTAGTATTTTTAATATTCTTTTCCTTACATAAATTGACACACTGCCTTCTATTCACATACTATCAATGAAAGCAAAAGATAATTTGACTTTGCTTTAAAAAAATAATGTTTTTATCAGGTAGCAAATATTAGTAACTTCATAAAAATGCAGTGTGTGTGTGTGTGTGTGTGTGTGTGTGTGTGTGTAGAGGAGAAGGCCGGCTCCTAATACTGACATTTAAAAATAGCTAAGCATTATGTTAATCCATTTTCATGCATCACACAAGATGAAAATGGACGCCAACAGTCCAAGTAAACTAACTCCCTTTTTGCAGAATCTTGTGGTTTGGGTGCAGGTACAGGGCGCATGCTTCTTTAAACTAAGGCCAAAACTTCCCACTTACAGTTTTGTGCATACAGCACAGTTACATTAGCAATTCCATTGACTATTTTGCTAAAAAACACACAAAAACCTACACTGCTTTATAACAAATGAAACCCTTTTAGAATAATATTTTGAATGTCAAATAACAGAACCATCAATATGAGCTACTGAAGGAAAGTATTCAATCTAATATAAGGATAGTATTTCCCTAGTTGATGAAACAGGTAATGATGTAAAGCAGTGTACTTATGGAAAAAATAAGAGGTATAAACAAAAATATGGCCTTAAATGAGTCTTCTCCATCTCTAATTTACATAAGCCTAAAGATCCTGGAAACTATTAATAAAAAAAAATCGTTTTTTTATTTTTTATTTTTTATTTTTTTCCCCTTAATGAGAAATCTACTTTCTAACTAGGAGAGAGAGAGCAGGACAGGAAAAGAAAAACAAGATATTAAGATGGCCAGAAGCAGTGCCCTGAGAGAAGAACGGTGACGTCACTGTTAATACCACAATATGGTCCATGTGAGAACTCCAAGAACTTGAGCCCCAGAATCCCACACACTTCAGAATTCAGTGATCAGTTCCAGATACACACTTAAGAAACAAATGCGCTGTAGAATACAGAATGGTAAAAGGAGAAAAATATTAAATACTTTGCCTCTAAGACCAATTAGCGCTGTAATTCATAACACATCCAATGAAGTAAAAGGAAACAATGTAAAAAGTGAAAGTTCACACTTCTTTTGAACCAGTCAAGGTATTTCCAAACCCCATCAGCACTGATGACAACCACCCGGCCACCACAGTCTCCAGAGCCCGTCACACAGAGCCCTGTCAGCAGCTCAGGCACGTCTGGACGGAAAACCATTTAGCAGCACAGTTGAATCCTTTACTTTTATTTGTTTGACAGTTTGATATCTCATAATGAATGTATGTCCCTGACATAAGCCAAGCCAAAAAATTTCCATAAAATACAACTCCACATGCTGGAACACCATATACTACCCACAACACACATCCCTGCGTTCAACACCCATATGTCTGATTTGATATCTAATACTGTGTTTCACACAGTGTCTTTGCAGTTTGATTTGAAGCAGTTAGGGTAACACTTTGCCGGTGTTAAAATGACTGCAAAGCTCAGTCAACACAGCCAGCAAACTCCCCTCTGAATTGCACTTTGCTATGTTGCTTTCTGGTTACAGGAGCCTCACACACAATATGGAAGTGTGTTGGGGGGTGGGGGCTCCATTTTCTAATGAAACAACAACAGGACGTTACAGGAAGGCGTCTACTAGCACCAGAGCAGTCCCAACTAGGAAATCTCCACCTACTTCAGCTCTGAGGAGCTTTGGAGCACCCTGGGGTGCAGGCAGGGTGGGGAGAGTATAAGCAAATCTTCAATGGAGCCCCAGCAACAATCTGTAGAACAGGCTGGCCTCAGGGAAGCCAGCAAGCACATCTGCGGGGAGGTTTCACAATTAAGCTTCTAGATGCACGGCTAATTCATGTGGCACTAAGCTGACTGCCACTCGCCCACTGGGAGCCTGGAATGAGGGGACCTGGAACACAGCGCCAGTGGGCGAGCAGCTAGCCCTGGGCCGGTGCTCCCCGGCTAGCCATGCCCTGAGTGAGGGCCACTGAACAGAACAGAGATGCCGAACTCTGGTTCAGGAAAGGACTCTGGGTTAGAAATGTATACAATCCGAATCCAAGTCCACTGGCCTCGGGTGGAAATACGGTCAATCACAATGATATCTGCCCTACATTGCCACCTGCAAAATGGGGCTGCCTTCTCTGTTAATTCATATTGCTATTATAACCGGCAATATAACAATCCGACTTGGAATTCTACACAGATGCTATGATTATTTATTAAACTGTACGTTATAGTGTGAGCTCTAAAGTATTATTTCCTAAGTCTTAACTTTAAAGAGCAATTTCTAAATATAATACTTCAGTTGTCTAGAACTAAAGTCTAATTCTTTTATGAGCAATATTGTTTTTATTTATTTTTAAATGTCTATTGGTTTTTAGAGAAGAGGGGAGAGGGAGAGGGAGAAAGAAGAGAGGAGAGGGGGGTAGAGAGAGAGAGAGGGAAGAGAGAGAGGGAGGGAAGAAAACAGGAAGGGGGGGAAGGAGGGGAGACAGACCGACAGACAGACAGACGGGATCAAACCCACACAACCTAGGCACATGCCCTGACCGGGAATCGAACAGGCAATCTTTCGAGGCACAAGATGGCCAATTGAGCCACGTTGGCAGGGCAGCATTCTTGTTTTAATCACTTTAGATACAGGGCTTTAAAGATCTATTGGGTGGGTCTCTGACATCTTCACAAATAGTCACTATGAAACGTGAATCGACAGGCTGAGCCTACTGCTGCCGGCTGCACACAGCCGCAGAGCACAACTCTGGTCTCTGTGCTGTCTCCTCACTTGCCGTCAAAGCACTCAGCCACTGCTCGTGACCCTGAACTTGATCCCAATGGAATCTGCTGAGGATGGAGAAACCCACTGCATCGTAAAAACTATGCGGGATCAGTACATGAGGAAAGCACATGGGCTTTTATTGTTTAAAGTCAATTTTGGCTACTGAGAGCCTTTTTGTTTACTTCTTAGCTCTCAGCACCAAATTCAGGGCAAACAAGATTACCAGACAGTTGAGAGCAAGTTACTGAGACCAGGAAGCATGTGCTGAGAGCTGAGCATACAAAGCCTTTCTAGCTCAGAAGTCCCCCTCCCCCACCAACCTAACTAGCTGAGCATAGCCCCAACTCCCATCATTTTCATGCCGTTCTGATTTTATTTTATCACAGGGGAGATGACTGGATTTAGTTACTAGTAGTTAGTTAGTTAACTTCTTATTTTTGCATCCATGTATTTACTTGGTCTTTATCACTAAAATATAAGCTCCCACACTCCTGGCATGCTTCCTGGAAGAGGGACTGCCATCAGTAAATGTCTATTGAATGAATGAATGAATGAATGAATGAATGTCTTCCAAGGTTACTAAATCAAGTTGTTATAAAAATGTTAAAGTGATGAAGAAACTCATTATAAAAGTGAAGTCACTTGTACCATCCAAATCTCTGATGCATGGACAGCCAGTGAGCCTCCCGCTAACGCAGCACAGGGCCCTCCGAATGACTGCTGCGAATGCCGGCCTTCAGCGTGGTTTCAATAAAAAGAAAAGCTCTCAACTAAAGAAAATAGAAATCTTCGAAAATTCATGAGATAATAGTGTTTCTGTTTGTTATTTAAAAATAAGAAAAACAATAATTTATTTCACTCATTTCTAAATAAGGAGGATCTTAAAGTGGAACACAAGCACACACAGCAAAAAAATTATTCTAATTTTTAAAGAAATCTGAATGCTTTCAAAAATGGTTGGAGAGGGAAAGTATGGCTAAAAATGATTCATTTACTTTAATACTTATCTTAGGAAACTATTTAAACGAAGGATTTGAGTGGTGACTTTCACGCCTCTGTGCAGAATTGCAGGCTCCATTTTTCATCTCACCTTACCCTGAAGTTAGTGCTCATATTTGAAAACTGAAGAAATGACCAAGGTTTCTTTCCCCTTGTTTATTTCTAAAAAGTTGTACACAGCACGGTCCCCACTGAGGTTAAGGGTGCACTTCCAATGGCCCAGCACTTCCATGTAACAGATACATGCCAACGAGACACCGAGTGTCCAGAAAGAACACAGATTCTAACACAGTAGGTAAAGGGGAGAACAGTGTTTCCTACAGTCACACTGGAATTCTACACAGTGTTTAAAAAGGGAGTGAGTGAGACCCACATATGGAGTCAGTTCAAATCTAAAAATGATAATGCTGAATTTGAAAAGAAAGCATCAAAAGGTTAGTGCAAAGCATCAAAAGGTTAGTGCAAAGCATCAAAAGGTTAGTGCAATTTGTATACAGTTTTAATACGCAATAGTAGTATATATTGCTCAGCAATAAAGTAAAGTACAGTCACATGCATTGAAAAGGAAATATGTGACAATCTTAGGGAGGAGAGTGGGGGAAAGATGGGTGGACCTTCAGCCTTGCATTTTCTTCCCTTTAAAAAGAGAGACGAAGCAAATATACGTGTTAACAACAACTATAACCTTGGCGTAGCTACACAAGTATCTACCGTATTTGTTTCCACTTTCATGATGTAAAATAAAGAGTTCCCCTCCACCATGTCCCACACTCCAGGATCACCAGCCAAAAGGCAGGACAGTCGGCTCAGCGCACACAGGCGGGAGGGAGGCGCTGGCTCCAGGAACTGCCTGGTCCTCGCCCCGTTACAGAGCCGCCCCGACTGCTACCCGGTGCCCTGGGCCCTGCTCTGCTGCAGGCCCTGCATGGGGACGGACAAGCCAAAGACCTCACAGGCCCCAATCCCCGCCGCTGGCGGCTCCCTCAGGGAGGACTCCTGCAGCTGGTTTGGTCCCACACAGGCTCAGCATCTGCATTCCTGGCTGCGTTTCTCCATGGCTCCTACAAGGAACGCTAACCAGTTTCAGTCAGAAATGAGTTCCAG